TTGACAACAGCGTCTCGCATATAAGCATCCCGCTAAATCAACAACAGATCAATAGCGGGGAATTTTTGGCAGAAAGTAAGTAGTAAAAAAAGAACTCGTGTTATCCCTGCGCAGAATAAATCTCGGAAGCAGCCTAAGAATGACAACTATTGGTTAAGCAAATTTATCATCAAACAGCTTAAGGAGCTAGAAGACGAGCAGGATAATCAAGACAATAACACTAACAATAATAACAAAAGCCTTTGAGCTTTCGAAGAGCTTTTGAAGAGTGCATATTTTTTAGGGCGACTTTGAAAACAATAAATCCGAAATGAGAATCATCAAATCTCCATCCATCTTTATATAGCGAAGGTTACTAATATTCAACCACTCGCACAACTCCTGAACGAAATGGTCAAAGAGGAATACGAAACCAAAATTATTAATGCTGAACAAGTTAAAATACAGCCAAAAAACTCTGAAGCTTATACTAAATAGTTAAGGAACTTAAGAATACTAAATAGTTAAAGAACTTTAGAATAAGGATATAAAAATTCACATATATAAGCCAAAGCAAGAAAAAAACTTCAAAGTCGCCCTAAAAAATATGCACTCTTCAACTAACGTAGACGTAAAATCCCGCAGTGCGCCAACTGCCAACGGTATGGTCATACTAGAGGCTTTTGTTTTCGTAAGGCCAGATGTGTTACACGTACCGAAGATCATTTAACTGTAAACTGTCTACGTAAGGTAAGATCTAACCAAGTCAAATGTGTACTATGCAAAGATAATCACCGCAAATTATAAAAGCTGCACAGTCTGTAAAGACTTGCAAAGAAACATGTACCGTACTCTTCGAAAGAAGATATCGACTACAGAATGTCATTTAAGACCCGCAACTTAAAGCAAAGTACTATATTCCAGGTTTGTTCAACAGGAGATTTCCTACGCAGAATCGGCACGTACAACAACCTCTCAATACTCACAAGAGAAGCAACTTCCTTCGGATTTCCAAGTTCCCCAAGCCGCCATTCAAAAAATGGAAATGCTACAAAATATAAGTGATATCCAAGAACTAAAATATATGATGAAGGAACTCATGGAGAAAATGGGTTCTATGTAAAGCATTCTATCAACCTTTGTCGCTAAAATGACATAATGAAATAATAAGTCGTTTAAAATAGTATCTTAGAATGCCAACGGGCTGCCAAAACACTTGATAAAAGTCAAATCGTTCATTTATTCTCATAAAGTAGATATTTCACTCGTCTCCGAGACACACTTCACAGATAAACATTTTTTCCGCAACCCAGGGTTTACACTTTACCATACTCTGCATGCTGATGGTAGAGCTCACGGCGATACGGCCATTATTATAAAAAGCAACATTACAAAAGCACTATGAAACAGCCAAGTCTCGGGAAGAGCATATTCAGGCCACTAGTGTAGTGGTCGAAGATTGGGCAGTATTACAGTCACAGCCATATACTTTCCATCTAAGAATATAATCAAAAAGAAACATTATTTTTCTAAACTCTTTAGGAAATCGTTTCATCGTCGCTGGCGACTTCAATACCAAGCACATGCAATGGGGTTCATGGTTGACTCATCCAAAGGGACGTGAACTTCTTTCGGCAATTGAGTCACTGAATCTGGAAACTCTGTCAACTGGAGAACCAACCTACTGGTCATCTGACAGAAGCAGAATTCCGGACCTCCTAGATTTTGAGATTATTAAAGGCATTTCTATTATAAAATTACATTTTGTCTAGAACTATCCTCGGATTATCCCACCATAACATTATTTATATGTAGCAAAACAATTACCTTCTTGGAGAAATCTTGCTTCCTTCATAATGGCAAAACAAATTGGCCTTACTTCCAAGAATTAATATCTAATATTCTTGATTCCAGTATCTCGCTAAAACCTAATAACGATATCATTTATGCCGTTGAACATATCAATTACTGCATCCATCAGGCTGCATGGAATACAACCCCACAGAGACCCGACTAAGATGCTAATATTACGTGCTCCAGTGCAATAAAAGACAAATTAACGGCCAAAAGACAAATATGTAAACAGTGGCAAACCGCTAGATGTCTAGTGTTAAAAACAAAACTAAATAAACTTATCAAAGAACTCAAGCATTTGCTGAAGCTCGAGAGAAATCAGGGAATATCGGAATATCTAAGTGGTCTGAGTCCCTCCACTGCATCCAATTATACATTATAAAAGGTCAACAAAAAACTAAAAAGGCTACAATAATAATTTGTCCCTGTCAGAAAATCGAATGGAAACTGGCCCAAGAGCAATGAAGAAAAAGCCACGACATTCGCATTACACCTCTCCAAGTTTTTTACTCCAAACCTGAGAAATATATTCTAGGAGGAAGAAGATGAGCTCTTCGCTAAACCCAGCAACATCAACATTTTGAATATTCCAATTAAATCCTCCACAATAAAAGAAGTAAGAGCTGCAATTAAGAATCTGAAACCCAAAAAAACTCCGGATACGATCTTATAACTAACCGGATATTGCAAATGTTACCAGGAAAAGGCATACTATGTACAAGGTCGTCGAGATAAATCCGGAAATTTAACTTATTTATTTATAGCGATGACGTCAGCAGCGATTTTGAATGCATATCGTGTTTGTGGCACGTCACGACAAGGTCATTCAAGAGACAATCAACAACTAATGACCGAGCAATTAACAACTAATGAGCTAATAATATAAACGAAGGACGGTGATACTCAAAACGCTTCGCACCGGCAAATCGCTTACAAAAATAATCGCATTTTGGCTACAAAAAGACGCAAGTTTATACCACAGCCAAATTCAGAGAGTCCGACAACAAAAAAAAAAGGTTATAGCTGACCGGACAATACACAGAAAGCGATCTGATGACGTCATGATGCCCCATTTCTTCAAGGAGGGTCTGAAGGTGAACACCGACGGTCAACGTGCTAGAGACAATTGTAAAGTTCTGGATGGATGAAATAGTCGTTGAAAGACAATATGTGTTCCAGTAGGTCTCGGCACCAACTCATAAGGCAAGGAGAACTTAGGTATGGCTTTACAACAATTTGCCCTACCGCTGGTCCCTCGACTTATGACCTACTTCTAATCCCGACTACAAACCTTTTGACTATTACGTATGGGGCGTGGTCGAGGCTTTGACTATTACGTATGGGGCAAGGTCAATGCAAAGCATTATAACACCAAAGATGCTCTGTGGTCCTCCATGGTCCGTGAAAAGTGATAACATATTTGGACAAGAAAGAGGTCAAGTATGCCTATAGACACTTTAGATCCAGGCTCGAGAAGGATATGGGAGCTGATGGAGGCTACATTGCATAATTTCATTCTTTTATATTCGTTGATACTTTGTATCAAATTATACATATATAATTATCCATATACGAACATATGGATGTTTTCTCTCTATTTTAATTGTGTTTCATTTACGGTTTCATTTGTGGTTTCTTTCCGGATTTATTTCGACAGTCCTGTACGAGGGCTGCTCCGTAAGTTTTGCGACTAGTAAGGAAAACACGGTAATTTGTCATTGAAAATGGCTTTATTGTTTTTCAAAGTATTCTCCATGATGATCAATACACTTCTGCATTCGCTCAAACAATTTA